ATATAATATATATATATATATATATGAAAAATATATCAAAATGCATGTAGGTACTCAAATGAAAGCTCTTGATGAGTGTAACATCGGGATAAGCTTATATCTTGAAAAACGTCATCAATATTTAAAAAAGTACAGTGCAATTTAACAAAAATCATTATGTTATACAGCAAAATTTTAATTTTTTATAGTTCACAAGTCACGACAGTCACATAATGACTGCGAGGTTGCTAGTAATCATTATTATCACAAAATTCTTAAAAGACAAATTTTTATTGATCTAACAAACAAAAATTATAATAATAAAATTAAAGTGAATCATCACGACAATTTCTTCCTGCTTTCAACGAAAGGAAGCAAACTTTCCTCACACTATTATAAGTAATAATTATATTTGAATAAAAATAAAAGATTTTTTATTCACCATCAGCAGATTACGCTTATAAAAATAAAATAATTTTCAATGTCACATTCCTTGTTCATCCATTCAATTAATAAAACAACTCTTAAAATTAAACAACTAATTAATAAAACAACTTTTAATTACAGCGTTAAAACCAATAAAAAGTTATTCAATTTTCGATGCCCAAAAAAACAATAATAATCACAATTACAATATAACGACGGTAATAACTGTAACAAGATCAAAGTGCTAATGGACTCGATTAATAAAAGTAATTAAAGCCAAGGTATCTATCGATAATAAAAATTTATCTGGCGTCAAGCTAATTATATTGAAAAAATTGTTTAGTTTTTTTAATAATATTTCAATTGAACTTGACGTTCGCGCCCGAAATACGGCAATAAAAAATATATATTTAATTTTATAAAAGAAAAAACGCTTAAGTGGACGTGATAAAGAAGGCTTCTCACAGCGTTATCGCCAACAATATTAGATATATATGTACATATCGTTCGTTGTGCATTATGACGCCGATACCGACAATCTATCAGTTATAACAAGTACTTTACATGAAATAAGAAATAACTGCACGTTTTAGTAAATTCCTGCGCTCGTTTCGCTCAATTTCTTCGCACCCACAAAAATGGTAAGTACAAAAAAAAATTCATTAATTTTTTTATTTTTCAATTAATTACAGAATAAATAATTCCGTATTTTTTTCGAGAACTAGTCAAGCGTGATTTCTTCTCGATAATAATGAAAAATAAAAATAACAATAATAAACACACGTGTCGGGTATTATATGAATACATTACGTCAATTATTAACACTCGGGTGAATTAACAATCGACACCTTTCAATAACAGCCTCATTGATTGACAATAATAATAATTATAATTGTAATAATTCTCATTCTTATTCTTATTCGTATTTATAGTCTTCTTATTATATATTTATACATCTCCCTACACTGTACAAGAGACAACGCGAATCGACATAAACATTTGAGTCAATAATACGGCACGAATTCGTCGCGAGGATAACGATAAATAATGTAAATAAAATATAAAATAAACGAGTGAAAGAAAAATAAAAGATGAATCGGCATTCCATTGATCAATCGGTTGTTTGGTTCAAAAGACACAGACGTTATTTATGTCTATCCGTGAGTTTTTAATAGCTTCTTCAGTCATTTAACTATTAAGTTTTAAGTTCTTCGATTGAATTGTGTGTATAAGTATAAGGTGAGATCATCAGATCATTCGATAGCCATGGCGGTGTCGATGAAAGCGAGCAATTCTTCTTGGTGAATCATTTTACTGCCCGTGGCCGGGGCTGCTGATGCTGCACGTCCGCAGTATCTTATCTCTTCGATGGGTAATCCCAGAGCTAGTGCTATGCGATCGCGAACGTAGTAGTACGCACCTTGATTTTGGTGTTCTTCTTGCACCCAAGTTATCTGAAAGAAATTTTTTTTTATTAATTATTTGTCTTATTTCTTTAAATTTAACTTGCAACCTTGCAGTCACTATGTGACTACCGTGACTTGTGAACTATAAATAAATAAAATTTTACTTTATTAAATAATGAATTTTGTTAAATTGCACTGTACTTTCTTCAATATTTATGTTTTTAAAAATATAAGCTCATCCCAATGTTACAATCATCAAGAGCTTTCATTTGAGTACCCACATGCATTTTGATATATTTTTCATATTTACATATATATAATATATAATGAGTGTTTTTCATGCCATCTAAGTCAATTAACTAGTAGGTATTGTTTCAAGTCGAGAAATGGATAAATTTCATCTTCCCTTATTAATCGAGAGATATCCTCTTTCTTTAATTTTCTTTCATTTCTTTCATTTAATTAACATCTTTACTCGAATAGATACTACAAGCCTACAGCTTCACTAGTATTCAAGTTTGATGGATTACTATCGAACTTATGTACAGAGAGGATATCTCTCGATTAATAAGGGAAGATGAAATTTATCCATTTCTCGACTTGAAACAATACCTACTAGTTAATTGACTTAGATGGCATGAAAAACACTCATTATATACACAATTCGGTCATGATAAAAAATAACTTTAAAAATATATATGTATATATATTTATACGATATAACGCGGCTTGTCAGCACGATAGCGTTTTCAATTTATAACCGATTCTTTTCAAACTCAGCATGCTTTATCTATCGATCAAGACCAAGGTTAAATTCGAAGATGAGCTTAATCGGGCGAGTAATTTGAAAATGACAGAATTTTGAAATTTTGAAAATCGTAAAAATTGATGTTTTTGCTACTTCAACTTGGTATAATTACTGAACTAGACAAGATATTAAAATTTAGTAAAATGCATCGTAAAGCTCTTTTAATAAGTTTCAATTTTCACTACTCAGAAGTGGTAATAGCCTCAATATTACTCCTTTTAGAGTTAGTTTAATGAAACAGTTGCAGCCATTTTAGAATTATTGTCTGCATCATAGCTTAATCATGATGCAAATTCAATAATTACGATATTGATCAGTCTTTCGTGTGATGTTTTCGGGTAGGTTGTCAGTAAATATGTCACAAATTAGTTCTAAACATTGTTTTCTTCAATTATAATTTTATCCGGTTTCAAAATTCTGTTCAACTTGGAAACTGTTATTCCTAAGCAGTTACTTAAAATTTGGACATTTATAATTCAAATCTTATAATCTTTGCAATTCTTTGGTAAATATTTGAGAAACTTTGTCTTTACAAAATAACTTTTTTTCCAAAATTTGTTCTAAATAGTTTTAAATTTATTATTGAATTTTGTTTTTAATTCATGAATTAAGTTAGTCATTATTAGTGTTATGATATTATTTTACTAAAAATCAATTTTCTTTATTTGAAAAATCTACTT